AAGGAAGGAAGGAAGGAAGGAAGGAAGGAAGGAAGGAAGGAAGGAAGCTTCATAGATAGCCTTCAAGGGAGAAATTACACTTTCCCAGTTGCTCTGCAGTCATCTCTCTGGAGTTTGACTCAGTCTGCTTAAATCCCAGCCTCCATTGTTCATGGCAAGTGAATTGCCCACTTGCAAGCATAAACTTCCCACTGTGACCCGCTTTGTTCTTTCCCCGCTTCCTTTCTGCTCTGTTGAAACGGCTAAATGAGTCGATATTACCTTAATGGGAGCTTTAGAAGTGTTATTTAATATGATTACTTTTTTTAAAAAACACACCACATGAAATTAAAAAAAAAAAGAATCTCGGTAAAAGCACAGGGCCCTTATTTTGCGCCTTGGATATTCACCGTAATAACTTAATTGGCATTTTCCTATATCTGGGAATGTAGTCTGTGCCATTTTAAAACCTTTCACTGGCTGTCGTTCTGCTCCAGTTTTGGAAATCGGGTAACCTAGGACCGTGATGGAAGGGTAGGTCTGGATAAATATCGAATTAAAGCATCTTTGTTTCCCCCAGACATGTGAGGCTTTAATTCCCATAGTGTGATTCAATGGTAAGGGACTGTGAAGCTGGTGTCCACCACTGCTTGGGGATGCGGTAGTTAGAATGCAGTATTGCAAGTTAACTCTGTCTACTGCCAAATGTTCAATCCTGACCAACTCAGGGTTGACTGATCCTTCCATCCTCCCGAGGTCGATAAAATGAGGACCCAGATTGTTGGGGGGAATAGGCTGATTCTGTAAACTGCTTAGAGAGGGCTGTAAAGCACTATGAAGCGGTATATAAGTCTAAGTGCTATTGCTATTGCCCTTCCTTCCTTCCTTCCTTCCTTCCTTCCTTCCTTCCTTCCTTCCTTCCTTCCTTCCTTCCTTCCTTCCTTCCTTCCTTCCTTCCCAGTGATTAGAATGCAGTATTACAGACTAACTCTGCCCACTGCAGGCAGTTCGATCCTGACCAGTTCAAGTTTGACTCAGCCTTCCATCCTTCCGAGGTCGATAAAATGAGGACCCAGATTGTTGGGGGCAGTATGTTGACTCTGTAAACCGCTTAGAGAGGGCTGTGAAGCACTGTGAAGCAGTATATAAGGGCTATTGCTATCTGGAGAACATGCAGTCACCTACTCCTATGCTGTCCTGGTAGTTGCTATCAAAAAATTAAGACTCGGATGCTTATCAAGTCTGTCTTGCTGTTTGTGCTTTGCTTTACTACTGTTTTACTACCCAGGTCACTGGTGTTCAGCTTTCAACTGGGGGAGGGGATTATTTTTAACTCCCCAGCCTAGACCTTTGTTTCGTGGCGATCAAACTTCTAAACAAGAGCTTCTTTAAAACCCAAAACTTGAGTTTTCATTTCTTGTAACTCCTCTCATCCTCTTTGTTTTCATTTGCCTTAGGTTTTTCCATCCTCCAAGCAATTATGGAAGCTGCTGTGCAAAATAATTGGCAAGTGACGGCCCGATCGGTGGGAAGCATCAAAGATGTTCAGGAGTTTAAGGCAATCATCGAAGAAATGGACAAGCGGCAAGAGAAGAAGTACTTGATCGATTGTGAAGTGGAAAGGATAAACGTCATTTTGGAACAGGTGAGGACCAGCTGTGGGTTTGCTTCCTGCTGGGCGTATTTCTTGCGTACCTCCTTAAGATGAATGTTGCCCACTGTCTTAGGGAAGGCCATCTGGATGAGGGAAGGAATGTCCTGCGCCTTTTATTAGATGTTCCAGGTTCTCCTCAAAAGAGTCGGTGGAGTTGCTGTTTTGAGAGACATTTGTTGTTGCTTCACTTCATGTTTTGCATGTCTTTATTGAAAGAATAGAATAGAATAGAATAGAATAGAATAGAATAGAATAGAATAGAATAGAATAGAATAGAATAGAATAGAATAGTGTAGAGTAGTGTAGAGTAGAGTACAGTAGAGTACAGTAGAGTAGAATAGAATAGAATAGAATAGAATAGAATAGAATAGAATAGAATAGAATAGAATAGAATAGAATAGAATAGAATAGAATTTCGGCAGTCACATGGCCAGCATGATGTCATGGAGCTCTTAAGTTATCTCCACACCCAAAGTGGTACCTATTTATCTATTTGCATTGGCATGCTTTTGAACTGCTAGTTTGGCAGGAGCTGAGGCAAGGATGGGAGCTCACCCTGTGGTGTGGCACCTGAGTCTTGAACTTGGGCTGCCGGCTTTCCAGCGGACAACCTCAGTGTCTTAACCTCTGAGCCTCTAGTTGCCGCCCAGCAGATATCCTGGACCTATGCCACAAAGAGCTTTAAAGGCAGGGGTGGAATGCAGCAGGTTCTGGCAGGTTCTGGAGAACCGGTAGCAGAAATTTTGAGTAGTTCGGAGAACCGGCAAATATCACCTCTGGCTGGCCCCAGAGTGGGATGGGAATGGGGATTTTGCAATATCCTTCCCCCAGGAGTGCGGTGGGAATGGGGATTTTGCAATATCCTTCCCCCAGGAGTGGAGTGGGAATGGGGATTTTGCAATATCCTTCCGCCAGGAATGGGGTGGGAATGGAGATTTTGCAATATCCTTCCCCCAGGAGTGGGGTGGGAATGGGGATTTTGCAATATCCTTCTCCCAGGAGTGGGGTGGGAATGGAGATTTTGCAATATCCTTCTCCCAGGAGTGGGGTGGGAATGGAGATTTTGCAGTATCCTTCCCCTGCCACACCCACCAAGCCACGCCCACCAAGGCACACCACACCCACCCACCAAGCCACACCCACAGAACCGGTAGTAAAAAAAAAAATTGAAACCCACCACTGAAACAACCCCATTATTTTTTTAAAAAAATCAGCTCGCTGGCAGGTTCCGCTGTCATTGGATGGAAATTATTTATAAAAAGTTTAAATATTCTAGGTTGCAAATGGGTTTAAACATTATTTATGGATCGCTTAAATATTTTATAAACCCACTGCATAGGGGGCCTGTCCCTACTGTTTTTGTGAAGCATGCTGCAGTTATAAATAAACCAGCTTTACGGCTTGGAATTATCTAGACGAAAAATACGGACAGCCTAACTGCATCAATTTTGCTCAGTGGAACCTTCGTTCTGAGGAAGACCGCCGCTTGGAACTTCATCTAATATTAGAAAATTCATTTTTAAGTCCGCAATGTAATTGACTGGGAGCAATGATCAGCGAGTCTTCTCCGTTATAAATAAATTGGAAGGAATGATTCTGACAGCCTTCGGTTTCCAATTAAGCTTGAGGATTAATCTCCTTCGGTAACGCGGATGCCTGGTTTACATTTTGCGGTAAGCAATAAGGTTCCAAAAAAAAAAAAGAAAAAGAAAAAGAAAGAAAATAATTATTACCGGGCCCAAGATATTATTTCTTCTGGAGATGGACTGCTAAAAGTTAGCAGTTGTTAGCGATTGTGCATATCTGGTCTACCTTGGGGTTTCTCAACTTTAGGACTTTTAAGATGGGTAGGTTTCTATTCCCAGAATTCCCCTGCTGGGAGGATTGCTGGCTGGGGAATTCTGGGAGTTGAAGTCCCCACATCTTAAAATTCCCAAGGTTGAGAAACACTGGTCTACATCATACAGAACGGATGTGGATCTAGTAATCCCCACAGCAATTTCTGTGATCCCTAGCAGTAATTCCTTAAATTTTGCTTAATACAGTATCGTATTTTAAAGCTGTTGCTAAAAGAAGGTGATGGTCCTTCTCCTTGTTTAAAATAGAATGGAATGGAATGGAATGGAATGGAATGGAATGGAATGGAATAGAATAGAATAGAATAGAATAGAATAGAATAGAATAGAATAGAATAGAATAGAATAGAATATGAAATGGAATAAAGAATGGAATGGAATGGAATGGAATGGAATGGAATAGAATAGAATAGAATAGAATAGAATAGAATAGAATAGAATAGAATAGAATAGAATATGGGATGGGATGGGATGGGATGGGATGGGATGGGATGGGATGGGATGGGATAGAATAGAATAGAATAGAATAGAATAGAATAGAATAGAATAGAATAGAATAGAATAGAATAGAATAGAATAGAATTCTTTATTGGCCAAGTGTGATTGGACACACAAAGAATTTGTCTTGGTGCATACACTCTCAGTGTACATAAAAGAAAAAATATGTTCGTCAAGAATCATAAGGTACAACACTTAATGATAGTCATAGGGAACAAATAAGCAATCAAAACTTATTAGAAAACAGTCAATATAAATCGTAAGGATACCAGCAACAAGGTTACAGTCATGCAGTCGTAAGTGGGAGGAGATGGGTGGTGGGAACAACGAGAAGATTAATAGTAGTGCAGATTTAGTAAATAGTTTGACAGTGTTTAGGGAATTATTTGTTTAGCAGAGTGATGGCATTTGGGAAAAAAACTGTTCTTGTGTCTAGTTGTTCTGGTGTGCAGTGCTCTATAGTGTCATTTTGAGGATAGAAGTTGAAGCAATTTATGTCCAGGATGCAAGGGGTCTGTCAATATTTTCACAGCCCTCTTTTTGAACTCGTGCAGTATACAGGTCCTCAATGGAAGGCAGGTTGGTAGCAGTTGGTTTTTTTTTTTTTCTGCAGTTCTGCAGTTAAAAACGAGAAGGTGCAAACAGATGAAGCGACGTATGCATTCTGCTCTGTGTTTCTGTTCTGAGGGAAGGCCTGATTAAATTATTATTACATTCATTTGCTCCCGAAGGCCTGATGCCACTGTGCTTGATTGGTTGTGATAAGCCTGCCTCGCGTTCAACCTTCAGATCCTCAAAATATTTTTTGATGACTTACATGCCATTTGCCTTAAGCTAAGAAGGACGGGCTGATTTTTTTAAAAAAGCACTATTTTCGGGTTCCATTAAACTCGGAGTTCTGTTTGAAGAAATAACATAAAATAAAATAAAATAACGGGTCTCCTAGAAATGCTGCATTTTCTCACGCGGCAGCCGGGCGGTTTCATCCTGCGCGCAAACCCTTTGAATCTCTGCTGGAAATCTATTAGTTTTCGCAGAAGCTCTGCAAAGTGTCGGGAGCCATGTGATGTGAATCCAACGAGGTGGGGTTTGAGATGAGCTGATCTGCAGCAGGAAAGGAATCCGATGGGATAGGCAGACTAAAGGGATAGGGGTAGTCCTGGACTTACGACTGCAGCTGAGCCCCACATTTCTGTCGCTAAGCAAAATGGCAGTTAGGTGAGTTGTGTGCCCCACTGTACGCCAGAGCTGACTACCTTGTTTCCCCGAAAATAAGACATCCCCGGATAATAAGCCCAATCGGGCTTTTGAGAGCATGCGCTAAAATAAGCCCTCCCCGAAAATATTTAAACACAGAGCTGGCGATCCGGTAAGACAGCAGGAGGAGTCCCATCTTGCTCCATGCGCCCGAAAATAATAAGACCTCCCTGAAAATAAGGCCAAGCATTTATTTCGGGGTTCAAAAAACTATAAGACAGGGTCTTATTTTCAGGGAAACATGGTATTGCAACATGCTTTACGTGGGGCTGCCCTTGAAGAGCATCCGGAAGCTCCAGTTGGGGCAAAATGCATGGTTTTGTTCAGAGCCCGGTGGGCACATGTATCACCTCTCCTGCGAGAGCTGCATTGGCTGCCGATTTGCTTCTGGGTGCAATTCACGGCGTGCTGATTGTCACCTTTAAAGCCCTTCGTGGCTTGGGACCAGGTGATCTGAGGGACCGTGTCTTGCCAGTTACACCTACCTGACCCATCAGAGCGGGGAGGCAGGGAATGCTGCGGGTCCCATCTCCGAGGGAGATATACCTGGTGGGACCCAGAAGAAAGGCCTTCTCTGTGGTGGCTCCCTCTCTCTGGAACATCATCCTCTGCCCTGAGATTAGAACGGCTCCCACTTTAACACTCTTCTGGAAGGCGCTGAAGACCTGGTTCAGCCAGTGGGCCTGGGGAACCCAGAGTGGGGTGGAGGCCCATTAAATGGCTCGCGTGAGGTGCTGTTGCCAGGGTGGGGGGCTCTATTATTATTTTTATTAATTTATTATTTGATGATTTTCTTTGATGATTTTTATTTCTTATATATGGTGTTTTTATATTCATGTAAGCCGCCTTGCGTTGCCATCAGTGGTGGGATTCAGCCGGTTCTATCCGGTTCGAGCAAACTGGTAGCGGCGACTGCGATAGGCCCCACTCACCCTCCCGAATACCATGATGTCCTATTTAGACATGTTTAGGAGGCTCAGACAACCTACAGAGCTAGCTATGACCCCTACATAACCCCTAAAGGTAAAGGTAAAGGTTCCCCTTACACATATGTGCTAGTCGCTCCCAACTCTGTGGGGCAGTGCTCATCTCCGTTTCAAAGCCGAAGAGCCAGCGCTGTCCGAAGACGTCTCCGTGGTCTTGTCACCGGCATGACTCAACGCCAAAGGCGCACGGAGCGCTGTTACCTTCCCACCACTATTTTTCTACTTGCCTTTTTTACGTGCTTTCGAACTGCTAGGTTGGCAGAAGCTGGGACAAGTAAGGGGAGCTCACCCCGTTACGCGGCACTAGGGATTCGAAGCGCTGAACTGCCGACCTTTTGATCAACAAGCTTAGCGTCTTAGTCACTACATAACCCCTACAACAACCAATAGAATATATGTTCTTGCACAGGAACAGGAAGCTCAAGTGCAAAGCCCAAGAGAAGGTATAAAAGCCTCTTAACTCTCAGCTCCATGTGGTCAGCTATGCCAGAACCCATGTGGTTCTGCTTCATCATTAAACCATCTTTCTAATCAGCCTCCATCTTTCCAGTGTCTTTCTCCCGGCTTGGAACTGAACCAGATGGATATTTCTCCCAACAGGACTATCTTTTCTGTTCCTTCAAGTCCACCTTGAGGTTTGCCTGCCCTAAAGTTTTGGGTGGGGTTTTTTTTTGGGTGGGGGGCATTCTTCTGGCCCAACGGAGCTGCTCTTTTTCTCATCAACTTTCATATCTGCTGCACATCCAGAAATCTCCCCCCCACCCCAAAGACAGGCTGGCCAGAGAGAAGTAATTAATGGCCTGCTTTCCATTCGCCCACAGGAGTGACTGAACCTTAGGGCAGGCAAGAAGGGGGAAGCTGCAAATCTGTGTGTGGGTAGCAAGCATTCAAAGACCAGCTGCAAAAAAAAAGAAAGAAAGAAAGAAAGAAATTGCTCCCACTTACTCTCGGCAGGAGAATGACACATGAAGGATAATTTTTGGAGATGCAGAAGCTCGGGTGAGGGGGGGGGAGCATTTTCTCCCTCGGATTGAAAATCAGGTTTTGAGAAGCTCTTTCTCCCATTTATCAAACCGAACCCGATTTCTGACATCCATTTCCATCATTCTGGTTCAACTTCCTGCTCCCAGCTGTCCTTTTTTTAATTTGAAATTTAAAGAGAGACGGGGGGAGAAAAGAGGAGAGAGGAAAGAGAAGAGGAGAGGAGAGGAGAGGAGAGGAGAGGAGAGGAGAGGAGAGGAGAGAAGAGAAGAGAAGAGAAGAGAAGAGAAGAGAAGAGAAGAGAAGAGAAGAGAAGAGAGAGGGAGGGGGAAGAAAGAGAGAGAGGGAGAGAGGAGAAGAGAGAGAGAAAAGAAGAGAGAGGAGGAGAAGGGAGAAGAAAGAGAGAGAGGAGAGAAGAGAGAAGAAAGAGAGAGGGAAAGAGAAGAGAGAAGAAAGAGAGAGGAGAAGAGAAAGGAGAAGAGAGAAGAAAGAGAGAGGAGAAGAGACCGGAGAAGAGAGAAGAAAGAGAGAGAGGAGACGAGAGAGATGCCTTAACCACTACACCTCTCTCTCTCTCAGGGAAAATTTAATCCAGCACCTCTGATAACCACCGAGTCGGCAAGGCTGAGTTAAAGCAAAATTCAGTACAATATTTTATCTCACTAAAGTTTATGGTTTAACTTTTCTTTTTTTTTTTTGTCAAAAATCACCCAAGATTGATTGCCGGGATGACAGCGTCTGTGTGCCAGAGGCCACGTTTCAGGAAAAAGTGAACAGTTGTATTTAAAGTTCTTAACAACACGTCTCATTCCTTAGCAACTCATAGAAATTTCTCCATGGATACCTCACACGTCTCGCATCCTTGTGCTGTTTCATATTATCAGCCTCCAGCAATACTAGACGCATTTGAAACAAATTCTTCTAACGTTTGCTTGATAATCCAATATCCTGCACTGGGAAAGCATGAATACAAATGTTGAGATGATTTTGTGCGCCATTAGTGTACAATGCAACAACTTGTGGGTCAGTGCCATCCAATAATGGCAATCCATTTGTTGTTGTTGTTTATTTTTTAAAAAAATATGAACATTCCATTTTCCATTCAACAGTGCGTCATCTGGATACAAATATCTCTGTACAATAACCATCAAAATTTACAACAGCATTCATTGCATTGATAATATTTCTCTGACTTTACAGTAATAATATGGAGCATAATAAATATGCTCATTTTTCCCTCTTTACATATATTCTGATAAGAATATCATAATAATATTAAATGTAATAATTCTAATAGTCGTTATTATTATGACTATTAGAATTATTACATTTAATATTATTATGATTATTATTATGAGTCATAATAATAACAATCATATTGTTTACATCTCTATCTTAACACATTTTCTACATTTCACTAATCTTCTTTTGTTTTTAACTTCCATTTTTATTCTCTAACCATCGATAAAATAATTCCCATGTTATATAATATTCAGTTTGTTCTTTCTCTTTAATGCAAGCGTTAATCTGTTCATTCTAATATTTTCCTAATCACATTCTCATCAGTTGGGATCGCTTCACTTTTCCAGTTTTGTGCAAATACAATTCTAGCTGCAGTTAATACATGAAGAATTAAATATGCATTCCCTTTACAATTAATTTCAGGTAAAATCCCTAACAAAAATATTTCTGGTTTTAAATTAGTGGCAATCCATTTGTGAAGTTGCTCTCAGCCTGTGTACACACAGCAGCCTGGTGAGAAGAATTGTGGTCCTTAGATGCACAACAGAAAAATAGCTGGTTTGGTATATAGACTTTACCTTCCATGAATGCAGAAGTTCATGTTATGGAGAGAAAACCTTGCAAAATTAAGTAATGGGGTTCCTCTTTTTTTAAAAAAAATTATTTTAAATACAAGAAATGCAAACAATACGAACATATACATACACATCTAAATACAAAAAAAAAAAAGAAAAAAATACAAATAATACAGTGCACCCCCACCCACCGAGACTATTCCCCCCCCCTTATATTTCTTCTTCTATAACAGCTAAAAAATATACAATATATTCTAATTGTGCCCTTATCCCCTCCAAAACAGCATATATTCTTGAGTAGGTTTATTCCTTTGCCTTCCACCAACAATGATTCCCCCATATCTCATTATAATTGTTTGTTTTAATCATCCCTTTTTAAAATGTAATTTCTGTTGTTAATTTATCATTTGTTGCCATATCCAAATTTCCTTATACCATTCATTTCTTTGAATATCCCAATTTCGTCCCCAGTATTTAGCTATCACTAATCTAGCTGCCATTATCAAATTTACAATCATTTCTTTTTTTGTTTCATTTATATCCCATTGTTCCACCAGCAACAATAATGCAATTCTCGGTGGCATATCTAAATTTACATTCAAAAGTGCTCTAATTTCTCTAAACACCATGTCCCATATTTTTTGTATACTGTCACAATCCCACCACATGTGTTTATATGTTCCGACCTCTTTCTTGCACCTCCAACAAATACTTGTATATTTACCATCTATTTGATTTAGTTTATGTGGTGTTAAGTGTGGTTTGTCCCATCTTATGACCTTTCTTGCCACAGTTGTTAAGTGAATCTGCCTCCCCCATTGACTTGGCTTGTCAGAGGGTCCCAAAAGGGTCCCTCTGACAAGCCAATGACCTCATGACCCCAAGGACACTGCAACCGTCATAAATATGAGTCCATTGCCAAACACCTGAATTTTGATCACATGACCATGGGGATGCCGCAATGGTCATAAGTGTGAAAAATGGTCACTAAAATGAATTGTTGTAAGCCGAAGACTATCTTTAGGGCTAAGCATTTCAAGAAGATCGTGGCATCCCAGCTCTCCGTCACAATAAGAACAGTTTCACCATTGGATGTGTTCCTTTACAAAAGACTTAATTTGAACGTGGAATATGCATGGAAACTCTCCTTGGCTATGGGCATTTTCCAGTTTGTGAACTTCAGTAATCAAATCCGTGTAAATGTCCCAAATCAACATTTTTTAAAAAAAAAAAAATATTTCCCTTGAAATGGAAAAGGGTTTTATTTCTACTAAGCACTTCATCTTTTTTCTCCTTCTCCTTTTATGCAGGTGGCAGCCCTCAGTAAAAATTCCAGAAGTTACCACTATATGCTTGCTAACCTGGTAAGTTCTCTATACATATACATGTCCAAATTAGAAATCCAGTTATTCTTATTCTTAATATATACCTGCCTAATTTGCTTTTCCCCCCAAATCTCACAAACAGTAAAAGGCATTGATCCTTTGATATGATCATATGTTTCCAAATTTTTCATAGAGATGCCCACATGTACATACCCCAAAATGAGAACAAAATTAGACATATTGATGTGCATATTTATTGGGGGAAAGCAACATAGAGAGAGTAAATAGTGGTTAAAATAATTAGAAATATATAAGGGGACGTTGTTTGCAAAAAATGCGCATAGAGACATACAATAAACACTTCTGTTCTGCTCTGCTCTGCTCTACTTCTGTTTTACTATACTCCTCTCCTCTCCTCTCCTCTCCTCTAATTCTATTCTATTCTATTCTATTCTATTCTATTCTATTCTATTCTAT